TATTCATGCAATGCCTAAACCACTCTGGATTGTACGATCAATACATCAATATAATCAAAGAAAGGGGGTGGGGGTGGGTGGGAACAGCCTTGTCAAACAACGCATGATGGAGAAATTAATTCTTTCTTTGCATATCAGCGGCTTACTCCTCCTCCCTCAATCCCTGAGCCCTCTATCTGACAAATCCAATTAACATGGCATGAATATTATGATTCTGTGTACACACCACAACCAGGATCTTGGCAGGGAATGGGTGGTATGGGCATCAGGGATATCAGCCAAAAAAATATGGAGGGTTTCCACTCGGCCTGTAACCTGGCTCCAGCTGGAAAACCCAGTTCCCTGGCAGGCTGGTGGTGCTAACTGCTCCCTTTCCCTCTGGTCTATCACTGCTTCTTGTCTGACTTCTAATATCACCGCTTCCTCTTTTCGCATGGCACTTAACTCCCCTCCTTCCACTATGGCCAAAGCCATCTCATATTCCCATCTTTAGTTCAACATGAGTCTAATGGGAGACAACTAAGATTCATTCATTTTTTACTTTTAGGTAGTCAAAGCATTCTGATGAGCCCAGGTATCAGCAGTTCTGCACTGATGAAAACAACACTCACAACTGAGGAACTACATTCAGGGGAGTACATTTGACTGTCAGATTAAAATCCTTGGAAGGGGAAAAACTGTAAAGAACAAAAATTTGGTTATTTTTTGCACGGAGGGAAAACAAGCTGTTGTGGGCTAAAACTAAATGGCAGTTTGAAAAAACTAAATGAACATCTCCTACCCTGACACCATCACCAAACACAAACATACACTTAGTCAGACAGATAAAGCGAAGCTTCAAACTTCCCCCCCCCATGGCAGAACAGAGAAAACATCACGTGGAAGTGTCTGGCACGCTGTCAGCTTGTGCAAGCTCCTGGCCCATGCCGGTGTAGAAATTAGCATTCAACTCAAAGGAGGCCAAAAACATCAAAGCCGCTTTGAAGCACAACTTGATGCTGCACAATGGGACAGGTGAAGCAAAACAATGTAGCACAGCGATGCTCTGTACTACAGTACCCAAAATGCATCACTGCTCCTAAAATAAAAGTGGGACATTGTGCCATGATATAAACAACAAAACTTAATTATTTACTTTAAGAAAACATCTCCAAACACTGGAGATGGATTACAGCGACAGTCAAACAAGGACTTTGAATAGAATGACTGTAAATAAAGAGCTACAGGAATCTATAACATATAATACAGAAACTGACATGTAATTACTGTCAAAACAGTTGAGAATGATGGCTTTACATACAGTATGCTATATCTACTGTAAGAAATCAGCTCTTCCCCTTCACACTTTGAAGTTAACGGGACAATGTCCAATTGCAGCCAAGTTCAGACCATTACTTAAGTTTTAAAATGAAATTTAATGTGTAGTTGAATGATCTTTACTCATCTACTCTATAAATTCTCCCAACTCTGAACCTGAGAATTTCACTTCTCAGCCATCTCTCAAGGTAAAATGAAAATGGTAGAAACTGATTTATTATTCTACCACTTGTGCACTAAAAAGTTCTGGGACTGCAAAAGTAAAAGAACAGCAACTTTCTCCTGCCTTCAGCCCGGCACCTGCACACACCTCAACCTGCTCTTTTCTTTATTAAACTATCCTGCCATCACACTTACACTCATGCATACTACTCATGAATGTACACATATTGTCTGATTGCCAAGGAGCAACTCCTGAAGGCTGAGTCCAGTCTAACAGCTTGTCAAAAATACCCAGACAGACACACAAACATGGAGTCATCGCAGTTCTTGTCTGATATGACTACGCTGATGATGCCTGCTTCGTGCTGCTGTTGGTGACTTGAAAGGTTTGCATGTATAAAAGCTACAATAGATGTGCAGTTTGCCATTGTTTGGACCATATTCCCTGAAGAAAATGTAAACACTGCCTCGTGCATTAACAGGCATAATTCACCTACTGATTGACCTTAAAGTGAAGTTATTCAAACATCACTGCTGCTGTTCTTTTTATATACCAGGGAATAAATTGGCACAGCATTCAAGAAAAGAACTGCTGAATAGGACATTTTAATACAAAACACTAGGTTGATAAACTTTGAATAAACTTTGCAGCCTCTCCATAAATTAAACCAAGATATTCAGTAGTAAAATTTCATTCATTTTCCAGCTGATGCCTTACTCAGCTCCTTATCCTCCCACCAATGTGACTTTGGCTGGTATGGTAATGAATTTGGTGCACATGAGAAACAGCATAATCATGAGCTACAAGTCATCAACATAAGGCGCACACGCTACTTCTGCAGGCAACATTGCACAACTCCGTCTGTCCGTCTCTGCCACTTTCCCTCCGTCTTCCTCTCTCGCAAAGAATCTAACACTCTCCACTGAGGCTTTCATGTAGAAAACCATTCTGCATTTCAAACCAATCAAACCAGGCTTCTGAACAATTACTTGTGATCGCAGCCAAGCTGGCCTGGACAATGTTGATCCATGTTGGCTTGAGAATTCATCAGGCAAAACGCAGACAGCTGAAAGAGAAGGTATTTCTTTTTCATGTGCAATGCGCCTTTGCCAGCACATATTCCTCCCTAAAGACGTCTTCATGATGGCTCAATGCTCATTTTAATTAACACACAAGCCTGTTGATGTTAATTAAAAAGCAGACAGACAATTCCCCATCAGAAAAAAGATCACACAGAGGGGTGTTCTGAGTATCTGAACATACTGCAAGATGCAACAGCAGTACTTGGCACTTATTCAGATGAGATTTCCTGTGCATTACAAGTGGGTGCATCAAACCAAGTGCATCAAACAGATGTAGATGCTGGTTATTTTAGAGGGAAAATGCAGATTTGCTGAATTCTGAGAAGTGTGTTTAAAGCCGAGAAACTGCTATTAGATGTTTTAACAGAGGTACTTTATATCAGTAATGATAACATCTGCAATACCCAGAAGATGTGCTGCATACTAAAATGTAAATGTAGCATCGTGCCATCATTTGCGGTGCTACTTACTTCATGGGCTTGAACAGTGCTTGTCCATAGTTCTGGAAAGTCAGGATCAACTTCAGCTGGGTGCCTCCTGATTTCATGGCTGCAAAGAAAACTGAGATGTCAAATCAAACTGCAATCTGAAGCATATGCACACACGCATAAACACAAACACACAAATAAATTGGACCATGTGCACAGCTGTTTCATTGTTTACCAATTTGGAGAGAGTAATTTAGCATGATAGAGCTATCACATCTGCTGACCAATTTGCCAGGCAATGTACAACAAAAGTGCAATTGTGGCAGTTAGGAGCTGACTGAGAGCAAGAAGTGGCATGAAATGCATCTGTTGACAGCTAATATATGATTGGCTCTGGGTGTGATTATGGGATGCACATGCAAATGCACAGTTTGAATATAACCGAGTGGCTACGTGTTCTTATAGCATGCGATCATCTTGAAAATGACATGTATCACTTTGATATATTAAAAACCAAAACCAAAACACAGTGAGTCAAAGAGGTTCCTTCTGTTTCAGTCCATAAAGCCATTTAAAACTCCAATTCATTATTATAGTGCAATTATTCCATTACTTAATTTGCTTGGAGAGATGAAAATCTTTCAGGAATATTAGTTTCCTGAATCAAATCAAAAATGAATTCATCCCAGCTGCGTGTTTCCATTGCTCTGTATATGAGCACATGTTCTACTACAGACCAGATTCTGACCATATGTTTCTCTGTAAGCCTCTGTGAACTGCACACATTGTCGGTGACTGCCTGTGCACATCACACTCTCTGAGCAGTTCCCCTCTCACTCCCAAAGGCTGACCTCTTGTACCCAAGGACAGGAGCCAGGGCACGTGTCTGACTATCAGTCATGTCCACAGTGTCTCCCAGAGGCTGATGCAGACTCACTATGAGCGTCCTGTGACTCACACAAAGACACCGCCAGGCCTGTAAATGCCTTATGTTTCTGCCACAATGGGCAGATTTTTGTGGGATTTTCCTATTTATTACAGCGCATTAACTTGAGCATATCGCACAACACAGCGCTTCTGCATAACCCCAATATCAACATAAGCTCCCATGTGGTGGACCCACTTACTGACTGGGTTGCTGGCTGGGTAGCTGTCTCACTTTGTCTTACCACTGGCAAGCCTCCCCCATTTGCCGTGACTCATTCTCAAAAGCTTTTGGATTTTAAATACACTGTTACACAAAGTACAACCTGTATAACCTCAGGTCAGTGCCTTTTTCGTATGACAGTAAATGTTTATTGAGCAAAATCAATACCAAAGACTACACTAACAGCAGTATAGATGCCAGGTCCATACAGCAAATCTAAAACCTCTGAGACACTGAAAATGACTGAACTAGGTTTAAATGATTTGACCTTGAACCTTTAAGCTTCAGTCTTTGAGGAGCTGACCTCAATTCATTCCTAAGTGCTGGCTGATAAAACATTTTGTTTCTAACTACAAACAGTAATCCCCCGTGGAAAAGCCCAGAAAACTCGGCTGATTGTTTCTCTGGATTTTATCTGCACTGACATGCAATCAAACATGACAAAAGTGAACCTCAATAGGACACCTGATTCGCCTAAAGGCCATCTGTCTCAGTGTCTGAGTGAATGTATGCGTTTCTGTTGATCTAACCATCTATCTCTTACTCTGTTTCTTCAAGCATCCACAAATGAATCGATGTCCCTGTCTTTGTTCCAGCACCTTCACCTTCTCTGGTCTTTCAGAAAGCTCCAGGCCTCACCCACCACTATCAGATTCCCCTCCCATGGTGTCATGATAAATCCATTCCGTTCTCACCTGTGCCATATCGCAGTACTGTGCGTATGATTTATGAGTCCAGCTGAAGCCTGAACAAAAGGCCACAGCCTGCTGCAGCAGAGAGGCAGACACAGAGGAGGGATGCGAGGGAGAGCTAGAGAGTGGGGAGCACTGCTGCTGAGAAAATGCTGAACAGGGAAACTTCCTAGTGCTCTCTGTATTTTGTAATTTTATTGAGACAGATAAGTGGTAAGTGTGTGCATTAATTATGGGGCGTAAAAGCTGCAGTGCATGATTCTGGGTGCACAAGCACACAACACACTGTTTCTTTTCTGCAGACAGTTTTTAAAGGTGTGTCTGGGGGTGTCTGTTTATATACTCTAAACTCAGGGGACAAGATACACACACACACACACACACACACAAATGACTAAAGTGCACGTGTTGTATGAACAACTGTCTCTGTCTCTGAGGGAACGAGGGTCCACTAACAGTGAGACAGCTGAGAAAGCTTCATTCAGAAATACAGTGAGCTGCACAAAGAGCTACAGATAACCAACATTATAAGCATAGCTGTTTTAATTAGTACTGTGCTTATGAATATTATATCACAGCCGTTGGCATTTTCACACTAAGACAAACTTCCATTCTCAAGGGGTTATCTTTACATTTGTCTGAAGTTCTTTAATAACTGTGGGACTTTCTTTAGACGTGTGATCTTCCTTTTCTTCCTGTTGGGTTTGCCATTACTTTTTTAAAGGATGTGATGGCTCAGGTGCAATAATGTATATCCTGCACCGGGACCGTCAAAGGATTTGTATATATAAAAACACCTGAATATTATCAAATGAAGCCACAGCTTCTACAACATGCCGTAACACACCAACATGCTGGCCACCTACTCACAATGTTCACTCACTATATTTGATAAACATAAATTGGCAGGATCTATATCAAGCCCATGACAGAAAAGGCAGCTGATCACAGATTTATAAACTCACACAGAAGCAGAAATGCAGTTAGAGCCAGATAAAACCAGTTAAATCATCCAAATTAGTCATACGAGCCTATGTGAACCTGTGCACATATAGTACTGTAGATTACCTACACTCTGCACACATACACATGCACCTCGGTAGCATCTCCCCGTGTGACTCACCCACACTGGTGATTTTCTGTGTGACCAGGTCCTTCAGCAGGGCATCCAGCACAGGGCTGTGTCTGGAGTACAGCTCGTAGCGATTGATCCCAATGTGGAAACGTAACCAGTTGGGGTAAGACTCTGCCGTCGCCTCTCCTGTTGGAGAGAACTCCTCCTCCTCTTCATTCCCGTCCACATTGTGCCTGAAAAATTAGGAGAGGAGATAAAAGGAGAGGAGGTTTAACTAGACATTGTGGTGCAAATAGATTCAAATTCATTTTAGTCTGTGGTGTAACAGATTATTACATTAGTCACTGCGGTTGCCTACTATTGAACAACTATATCAGACTAACTGATGCTGAAGGAGTCGGCACAGAGCACTCCATCTTAATAACACACAGATTTATTATTATTATGAGTACATTGATACCATGCAGCTCCACTGACTAAAGATAATCCAAGTATATTAAAAAATCCAGGATGATGATTACTCATAAGTTGTGCCCAAAAGGATAAAATGGCATAACAATAGGAGAGATGTGTGGATACAGCAGGTGGATGAGTGGACATTATACTGGAGACAACTAAGAGACAGAAACTTCCAGGACAGATGAAAGGACATGTCAAGACAGACAGAGGTGTGAGTGCAGGAGAACACAGGGTGATATCTCATCATTTTGACAGTGTGAACTGGTTATAAATCAAAACAGCATTCAAACATTAAAAACGTGACATTTACAACGGAATTTAGCACTTGTATCTCTTTCAGTTGAACAGATTCCCATCGTCTTACCATCCTTGGTTCGTCGTTGATCTGGGATAAAACCTGATGTCAGTGTTGACATTAAACAAAGTGTCATCGTCCACGAGGGGAGGAAGGTCAACCTTGTATAAGGGATGCTCAAACAGAGCAGCCAGTCGGGAGACACCGTGGGCAGGGACAGTCCGAGCCCCACTTGCGTCCCCAATGAGCGGCTTGTGGTCCTCTGCCTTGTTCGCCGACGGTCTCATCCGCTTGAAGGACTCCGCTCTGTCCCCGGCTACAGTGATTTTTTCCAGAGAATGGGAAGTGAGGTTGGAGCTCGGCTCGTTGCTGAAATCCTGCAGGATTCTCAGCGTATGTTTGTTAGGCCAGCCCGCTTCAGCCGCAGACCTGGCGCGCTGCTTCCCCCAGCCCTGCGACTCCCTGCCCGGGTGGTGAGCGCACTGACAGCCGCCGTCCCCGCTGTCCGCCCGCTTCTCTAGTTTTGGTAACAAGTCTATCATGATATGCATAGTGCACGCTACTAGAAATACCATGAGTATCAACACTCTGAATTTACGAAACAATATCATCTTTATCATATTTTCTGTACACAAAGTCAGCTTTAAGCGCAGCGCACCTCAGGCACCGACAACGATGTCCAACAGTGTTGACAAAGCAGCGGTCTTAGTTGGAAGATTTACTACGGTCATTGCACATTTAAAGCGTGTCAGCCTATGTCAAGAACTCCATAATGTGCTCCGTTTTGTTTTTTGTTTTTTACAGCAGTCCGATTTCTTCAGTCTCAGGCAGGTGAACAGACCGGCACATTGTGAGCACTGGACACTTCACTGGCAGCGGCTCACAGAGTGGTCTTCATTCATTGCGTTAAGTAGGATACAGTATCAGGAAGACGGACGACTTCATAAATCGTGAGAAGAGGTAGCCTAACGGGGGGGGGAGTGGGTCCTATTTAACGCACCGATATTCTTCTCCAAACCTGCTTCCTTGTATAACATTAAGTGAGATGTCAAATGAGTCCTAACTGAAAAAAGTAACTAGAGAGATTGATATGGTCCGAAAGACACACACCCTTCCTGGTATTTAGGGTCAATTTAAAATAATTAAAAAAAACAGAATTAAAAAAAAACCCAGGTGATCCGCTGCGAGATGCTTGGATGCCGTCCCGCGTCTTGACAAGAGCTGCTCCTGTCTGCGAGCATGGATGAAGTCAAATCAGAGACTGGCTGGCAGGTGCAGGGATCCTGGTTGTCATTTGTCCTCTTAACACTGCCTTGTCGTCCTTCCAAGTGTTCATCCAGGGTGGGCGTGTTACATGTTATGATCGAAGCCCTTTGAGCCCAGCCTCGGTGGCGTCATGAGGAAGAGACTGGCTGCGTCTGCACATACAAGTAGCAGTTGTGACATTAAAGGCGAGCTTCAGGGAGAAAGAGCTGTGTGGACTGAAACCCTTTTGTGTTTGCAACGCTCTTTAACGCAGCCAGAGGGCGTTGACACAACCTGAAACACTCTGCTGTCCATGCACTATACTGTATGATCTCAGATACAATGTGTATCTCCTGTATGCCATTATGCCAAGTACATGATAAGCCGCTGGTTCTTGAAATGGGTTCCCGAGGGGCCTTGAGAACAAGTCGACAAGTCACCAACAAAATAAGGAAGCAACGAAATTTACTGTAACATTCATTAGAGAATTACATAAGAGTTTACTGGGCTGATCTGTATGTAATGTACTGTACTTACTGTGACACAGAAGCTGGAACCAGGAAGTGTTTTGCTTGATAAATGGGTTAAGCAGTTATATGATTTATTTATGGAGTGAAAAGTTTCTTTGTCTTTTTAGCTCAAAACTGCACTATATACGTATAACTTAACAGAGCTGCGTAACTGAGAATGTCACCATCAGCCAACAAGCCACCGCTCACAACACAGTGGAAACTCCCAGAAACATGAGTAGGATAGATGGTTACCTCATCATCCTCTACGTGAAAACTACACTGCTAAAAAAATAAAATAAAACTAAGGGAACACTAAAATCACACATCAGTTCTTGATGAATGAATTACTTTACTAATATACACTGTATAACTTGTTCAGAATAAAAAATGACATCACAATGGTCAATGAAAACCAAAACCATCAGCACATGAAGGACTATTTTCAACACAGGCTCGGTCATCTGTCAGTGTTATATGTAACACACAGCAACATAATGTGACTCGGAAGTGTGTATGGCCCCCGTGTGACTGTATGCACTCCTGACAATGTCTGGGCATGTGGAGTCAATCTATGTGGAAAAAGATTTAATAAGGAACTAAAAAGCAGCAGAGCTGGGTTCTAGTTCTGACTGTTTTTGGCATCAAATGAGTTTCACATTTGGTCAGTGTGTTAATAATATGTTTTAAAATGTGTTTAGATGCATTTAACTACTAATTCACATGTATCAGGACACTGACCTACTGCACATACTCCATCATACTTGATAAGAATGCGTGTGTGTCTCTAATCTAATTGTTTAGCTAAGTTCATGGCTTGTCCTATGTTTTCCCTAAAACTTTATTTTAGATATAAACGGTTTAAAAGACTTGTTTAATTTTAATCAAATGGTTTCTAATCAGGTTTTTTAATCGTCTACAAACATTAATCCCCTTCCATGGACTTGAGCAGTCACAACACACCTGCCCGCCTTCTCAGAGGTTATTTATTTCTATTTGCTGATAAAGCAAAACACCTTTTATTTTAAACTGCAGGGGGGAAAACACTGGCAGCAATTACTGCAGCTTCCACTTATAGCTGGGCTGGATTAGATTCATCTGAAACTTCACAGGGGTAACTAACAATAGCAAGTAGCTTCCTACTATTGGCGTCTATTATTTACACTTGCGGGCTGGAAACATGAATGACACCACTTCCGTCTTCACAACACTTCTGTAATCACAACCGTTACAACCTCGCTGTGTTGTACGTGCATGCAAGACACTCCTCCCGCAGTCCCTCCCAAACCAGTGCGGCCTCTTGCGTTAAAACACAGCATGGAACATAACATTTTAAGTGCCATGGAGTTCATTCAAGCTGCTGAAGGCTTTTTGGCTTCCAAACAAAACTATACAAACACACTCAGAAAATGTATTTAACTGTTTTGTCACAAAGAAAAATGTCTTCAGGTCAGCCTTTTGCTTGTGTGTGTGTGTGAGATTCAAGGATCTACCCCTCCTCCCACACTCACCAAGTTTTAGTTCCTGCCACTGCCAGATAGGATCTCGAAGCTAACAACCAAACGAATTGTTCTCCCAAAGGCAAGCCTGCTGTCCCATTTCATCTTGTGCGCCAAACAAAACAAATTGGCAGACATGTTAAGGTATTCCACGAGCTTCAGTTCAGAGTAAAAATAAAAGGATAACTGCATATGGAAAATTATATATACTTTAATGTGGGAGCAGTCTCAGTCTGTAAATGTGCTGCAGTTGCTTTTGGCACACAACATCATTGTGCATTGTATCAGCTCAGGAGGCATATGTGTAATTGTTTGCAAAGAGAAACTGCAGTTGTCTGCTTTCCAGAACTGTTTTTCTAAACACTAAACTAGAACTTCATTAATTTAAGGATAACTTCATTTACTTCAAAAACAGGGAAAGAAAATACACAAATATTTCTATTATTCCCTTTACTGCAACTATGGACAGAAATGACAAGAACCAGTTTGTCATTTTACATCCAGGAAGATTAAGCATGACAGGAACATTAAGCATCTCTATGGGTGCCCATTCAGTTTAATTGATGTTCACAGACACAAGGACAGTTTCTTCCCCTGTGGCATCACCCCGATGAACACTTAATCCATGACTGTAAGACTGGACACAGTAATCACCGCAGGGCACTAAACCGTAAATATAACCATGTATATATCAGTCTGAAAGCTCTTAAGCCATAATGTATATATGTAAGTGCTGTCCCTCTTTTCCTCTCATTCCTTTTGATTGCACATATTTCCTATTTGAATGCACACACAGTCTAGTTTCATTTTATTGTTGAATTTCTTATTTTTATTCTCATTATTTTCTATTTCCTTTTGCCTAAAAACACACTGAGAGCCTCTGTACCGGTATGTTCAAACAAACTTGGCCATTAAAGATAATTCTGATTAAATTAATTATTTAGCCAGTACTGCGGCAACAATTTTCATATTTTGTTGTAGTTCTCATCTGCCAGTTATCTAACAAACGGTGCTGCAAAAGAATAAACATATTTTTCACATATCTAACCTATGATGATGTTCCCCATGGAAAATAATTACAAATGACCTAGTTAAAAAGGTAAAACAAAAGTTCACACATAGCATACATACATAATAATTTAAGTGATCAGTTTTTAAGCCTATAAAATTATATTTTTGAAATAATCTCAAGTAAATGATATGGCTTTCAGGTTACATATACCATACTCAGTGGTTCCAGGACATCATTCCCAGGGGAGTTTCTTTGAGTTTGCTTAACCTTTGACCCACGGAAGGAACAGTCAATCTGAAGGTGGAGCAGTTCAGCTTCACGGGGACCCAAACTCATTCTGCATTTCATACGTGAAGCTGGTCTTATGCAGTTTTGATTAGTCTAGGGTATTACAGAATGGTTCACCTTGTGTTTAGAATAAGATTGGAGGGGAGTGGAGGGAGAAACAGATAAGCTAGAACTATGGCAAAAAATAAAAATAAAAATCAATGCATGCTCTGGATTCTGGTTTAGTTTGGTCTCTTGGAATCCACACAGGAATATTTTTGTGTGTGTCTGAACGTTTGACCCGCGGCCTGCTCAGGTTGGGAGCATACTTTGTAAAGTTCAACTTCAGCTGCCAGACCTCACTAATGTCAAACTAGCCTGGCTGGTAACTGTGGCACCAGATTAAAGAAAAACTGATTTCTACATCTAATTAGTCAAACATGCACAATATTTCTTGAAGGAGCAACAGTAATATCTATCTGCATTTCATAAAAGGCCATTAGCTCAGTAACATCTAGCCCTGCTCGGCAGTTTTATTAGCCTGATGACTTGTTAACAGCTAATTTGAAGCTGAGGGGAAAAATGGCTCTGCACACGTTACAAAAGAATAGGAATTATAAACGGAGAATAATGTGAACAAAGAATAAAAATGTTTGGACAAATGGCTTGTCACTGGTCACCACTGATATGTTAAAGACAGGAGGGTGTGGCAGAGCAGGGCTGGAGCCAAGAAGATGAGTGTGTTGAGTAATGACACACTCATTCATTTGTCTGGGAACTAACTGAAAATGAACTTCCTTGGGAACATGTGTGAGGTAGGTGTCTGTACTTTTGGCCCGCCTACTAACTTGGTGAAATTTGTTTTTGCTCAGACCCTGCAATTTTTCAATTTAACTGTTTTCTTCCTCTTCCTTCCTTAAAATGATTTGCTTTTCTTCATGTGGCCACATGAGCAGTAGAAACAGCTGTAGATGTCGTATGGTGACTTAAACCTATGACATCACATGCTTTCAGTTTCACTTACTCCACAAGCAGAATATGCTGAATACATTAATGTTACAGATATGTAATTGTGAATTTCAATATAAAGCATCACAAGGATTGGATTTCTTTCATTTGGGCCCTCTGCCAGTCACAGCATGACAGAGAATGAGAATAATGAGTCTGCTGGTGTCAAGTGCAGTAGAACAGCAGCCATGCTGTGTTGCTCTCTATCTCAAAGACTCAAAGAGTAAAACCGAGCTCGGGGGTTTTGAATTAGGGAATAGTAGGGTGTGACCTTGGAAGTTAAGGCACAAAAAGCACGTTTATATGTGCTTTGTGTGATCATGTGTGTGTCCGTGAAAGAACTATTCCTAAAGGAGACTTGGCAGTGTTACAGCAGCCCATCTATCATCACAGTGCTTGGGTGGTGAGCTCTCATCCAATGACAAAGAAGTTGACACCTTGCTGTCACTCAAGGTTCCACTTAATACCACTATCAAAGGCCAAGTGATAGATGTCTGTCTTTTTCACTTCACCCTGAGGTGACTATCAATATCAAATGAGCTCAGTTTTCAGAAAAAAGGATGATGAAAAATGTGTCATTCCCTGTTGTCTATGTAGAATTTGATTGGTTTACTTTGTGTTTGTACCTTCTGCACCTTGAACAACTGCGATCCTGGTGAACTGAATATTCCTGTAGGTGTAAATGTGAGTGTTAGTGTCTGTGTGTAGAGGTGCCTTCAGACTGCGTCTCAGCAGTGACTATGCAGGTTTGTTGTATGTCACACTATGAGGCAGAGCTGGAAAGTCACTAAGCAAGTACTGAGGACAATTTTATTTATATTTTCTACTGCTTCATACGTGGGCTTCGCTATATTTCAGAGAAAAAATATTGTACTTTGTGCTCACTGCATTTATTTGATAACTTTAGTAACTAGTTATTTTTTCAGAATAAGATTAATAAACCAAAATACATTATAATCATAAAACTTTACTGATCCCTGGTGGGAACTTCATAAGCTACCCAGCAGTATGTAAAGTGCTTCAAATTATAAGTTAACATCAGTGCCGCTATTACCAGCTGCAATATTAAAGTGATGAACACAATAATGCATCTATAATTATAATTCAATACTACTACACAATGTGAAACAGAACATTCTGCATAATGAGTACTTTTACTTTTGGTACTTTAAGTATGTTTTGATGCTAATACATTTGTACTTAACATTTTTAATGCAGAACTTTTACTTGTAAGAAAGTATTTTTACACTGATATTGATACTTTTACTTAAGTAAACAGTGTGAGTACTTCCTCCATCACCGCTGTGAGAATGAGTCTAATCAAATTCGGCATAGCAATCTGTGTCAGACCGTACGATACCAATCTGAGGCTTGTCACATTGTGCAATGAGTGCCTGGTGAATCGTAGCATTACAATGTACGGTACATAGAAAGAACAGCAGGTCAGTAACTCGCATCACACTTACATTTAGAAAAAGCAGCAAAAGGCTAAGCATGATTTGAGCACAGTTGGCTTAATAAAGTAGTGTGTGCTGCTTTCCCTAAGTGTTATTTAAAAATGGCACAAAGGAGAATGCTGGATTCTGATGGGCTGGTTCGAAGCAGCACTGTCAAAATTTGATCCTAAATTTCTGTCTGTAATTTGCTGCAGGCTGCCTTTAATTTCTTAAGCTCAAAACTGACTAGTGGTGGACACGTCTCAGTGAGAGGTCGGACCTCTGCTTTGCATTGACAGCTGATGTTTTTACCATGATTGTAGTTTTTGCTTCAGGCTGCCTGAAATAACAGCGTAAAGGGGCCTTTCAACATGCAATATACTGATAACTCTGTGTTTCCCTGTTTGCACCAAAGGCACGCTGGTATACCCTCCAATCCCCTGTTGTTCTGCCGAAATGGTGGAGAAGAAATGATGTAACATGACGTAAATGAGCTTCACAGAGCACGCTCATGTTTACCCACCCTGCTGAGAGACTGCATAAGAGCATGAGATACCAAAAGTACAACAAAGTGAACACATCTACACTCAGCCTTTCCTCCTTTCTGCATTTTGCTCTTGACTCAACACATACTGAGAAGGGAGAAGTATTACGTACTCAACACTATAATTTTATTTGAGCACAGTAGATGGTCCAAGGTGCAGACTCTCTTCTCTGTTGCAGGTTCAGTTAGTGATTTATGCTGACATCTTTAAAATGACAGTTTTCTTCACTTAGTCTAGTCACTAAGAAAATGTCCTTTCTCCAGAGAGGTCAGAGCCACTGTCAATCTGTCTGATTTTATCAGCTCTGATTCTTCTTATTTGCATGTTTTAGTATGAGTGTGTATGTGGGAGTGTAGTAGTTTTCTCATACAACAAAGAGTTGGTGAGTGTAGCCAGAGCAGATGACCTGTGCCCTCAATTAAGCAGCTTGAATACATGAAAAACTGAAGTAAAAATTGTTTTTTTTTCCATTTTCATTTGACTTATTGATCATTATGTGTATCCCATCAACTTGTCTTAATGACTTAGCGCTTGAGGACATTGGAGAAAGTTTAGAAAGTGATGTATTATTGTTGCACCTCCAGCTTCTCTTTCACAATGCCTATTATTAACATGAAAGCAACAACTGAAGATCACATTCAGTGGCTCAGAAGGTTAAATTAACACCTTGTCCAAATCTATGACAGGTCTGTGACTACTCACTGTAGCAGAAAAAGATTCTTATACTTCAGCAAAGTTTTTTAGTAAGCTGGCTTGCAGTGGTAATATGCTGTCATATTAGCTCTCTGAATGTCAAAATGGGATGCCTCAGAGGGAGATCATGGGCAGTATATCCTCCAGAAGAGCTGAGGCTGGATCACTGCTCATCCAAACAAAAGTAATGTGCATGAGTGAATAATGGTGATATTGTTAGTGAAGTGTCACTTCCAATAATGCATGTTGTGGATATTGCCTTTAGCTGGCCATACAAAAGTCTTAGTCACAGTATTGCTTCCTTGGTTTTGGAAGCTGTGCAAATAAAATCCAGGAGAGTAAAATGATGAATTGCTGCTAATGGCCAATAAGTAAACTGATGCCGAATCAGTGTCCTTGTAGGATATGTGTAATTAATGTGTAATTAATGGACCAGTGCAGTATACAGTGTGTGTAGACTGTGGGCATGGTCTAATTAAAGCCAACCAGGTCATATACACATAAGGTAGCAGTGCCAATTTGAAGGCCTAGTGCCAGAAGAACTGAAATACTGCAGTGCTCAGCATATTTTAGTGGTGTCTCCAAACCAGTCCAGGAAGTCCAAATCCAGGGAGCTGCCCACTAAATATGACAGAATCAGCCTTTTCAGCAAGTGCCACAGATAGTCAGAGTGGATCAGAATGGTGACAGTGTTAGACTTTAACATGGGAGACCTGTTTGTTTCCCATTTCCAGCCACCAGTCCACACTGGATTCTTTTAACCATGATCACGGTAAAGTACTTATTTTAACCATACCCATGAACTTTCTCTAACCTTAACCAAGGTCTAAAATTAACCAAACTTTAACCATAGTGTACTGGTTTAGAAAGGTACAAATGACGTTGCGCTGACAAATAGTCTTATCAGATCAGAAGGTATTTCTATTTGTCATTCCTGAGGGCAGTTACAAACAGTTTACTTTGTAGTTTAATTTTGATGACTTGTAGAAATCTTGTATCCATTATGGTTACACTGAACCATATCAACATACTCAGCTCTAAAACAGGTACAACTGGAACAAACAACTGAGTCAGACCAACAAACACTATCATCTACTGTAAAAGCAACAGATACATGCCTGTATTTAATATGCACTGTATGTTACACAGTCTATTTTTAAAGTTAATTTGTACTTTGCACCATGCCTCCTGTTAGAATAAGGTAGCCCAGAGATGGTTTTACCCACAGTGTCAGGTTAGCATGACATGTTGTGGGTCAACTGAACAACCAACAAACAGCAATGTGCCAGTCCTTTCCAATGATTCGACTATATGTGCAGGATTCATCTGCAGCAGGGTAGTAACTGGCCCTCCTCTTGGCTCTGGCTGATTAAACAGACTGTCTGTTACACAAGAGGCTGGCATGGCTCTGGTCCTACTGCTGTGTCCCCCACGGGCCACATCCTGTTACTGCTCTGCTCCCACTCACTTCTTGACACATAGGTCATTGTGGGGCGTGGGCCATGCTTCCGAACATTCAGACATATAAAAAACACATGGCAGACGGTGACACACACAGATATACGGAAACACACAGAGTTGAGCTTGTGAAGTGAGCAACAGGCAGACATTTCTGCTCTCATTACAGTGCCAGTCTGTGTGTGTGTGTGCTCTCCTGCTTGCAGAATACGCTATGCTTGGCCATAACTTTTCATCCTGGATGCCCATAATTAGACAGCACCGGATGCTGCCAAGGGAAGGGTGAGGTTAAGGAGTGGGAGTGAGTGGCCTGTTTTTTCTGCGGTTTTCACATACCGAGGAGCATTGAGGCTTAATCACAGGAGCGACCCTCCTGCTGGACCTTGATGACACTTTTCCTGTGATTAGAGGAGATGATAGGTATTGATTGTGAGTGGTAGACAAGAGTCATGTTTAATTGCATTAGAATAATTAACTATTGATGGCTGAGGTGAGACCTGTCCCTGATGATGAGGCTGCAGCGTGTCAGGTCTGACACATGTTTACACCACAGTGCTCTAAAAGTAGTTTAATGCTGTGTTGTGCAATACTGACACTTTTTCAGTATTTGTGTCGATTTTCACCCAGTGAATTGGCACCGTGCGGTTTGCTGATGTTTCCTAACACACATCTATCTGGGCCATAGAATTTACTTAATGGAAGCCTGTCAACACAATCCAATATATAAATAGTTTCTCCTTGTGTCCCTATTTATCCCATGCAATCTTTCTCCATGCATCAGCCTAAATTCCTTCGGGTCTGCCAATACCAAGCCATTAGGTTTGAGTTTGAGTATGATTGGTATATTTCCTGGTGACCTTTGGGTCATCTTGGGCAACTGTTGATAGGTATTTTTTTGACTGTGATGTCATTGCTGGCTCTGCAGTTCCCCTTGTACCCTCAGTACATCGATCTTCCACCTTCCTCTCAAGAAATATAAACAAACCTCATACAATGTGTTCTGCTGACTCTGCTTTTGCTCACAGTATTTATCACCCCACACCTAATACATTTTGCACTGAACACCTGTATCACTACTTTATACTTAATAAAAAGAAGACAATAGGATAAAAACAATAAAATACACGGTATGTCTTGGGAGGTGTTACAATAAATGAAATTCATGTTTAATTCATCAGAGATAATAGAGCGGGCACTTTGTGGGAGCTTTCAGACAGAAATATAGTCACAGATGTGGCTTTTTTGTATGGATTTGTGCTGTCCGCGGTGTTGTGTGTCCCTGCCTGTTTCAGAGTGTTTATGGGTCTTTGGTTCTCATTGGTTGTGTTTCTCATGAACCCAGACAGCCATAATCCTCAGCCAGGGACAGTGGCTACAGGGCGGGCAAGTTACCCTGCCTACAGATCACTGTGGTCTGGAAGCCAACACTGGATCACTGAGTAAACAAGGCTCGGGGCAGCCGATACACGGGTGTGTTTGAATGGGCATGTGCATGTGCCAAGAAGTCTTAAAAGTTTGGATGGGCCCATAGTGCACTGTCTCCTGGAGCTTTTTTTTTTTAGAAACTGCTTCATGTCTCAACTGGGGTTTGTGTTATGTATTTGGATTAAATATTCATTACTGGATGTAGACTTGAGGCCTTTATGTGCTGAATGGTTTGAAGGCTGTTTAAACGTCTCATCAATATCATTCCTCAGCATTGCCACTGACAGGCATTAGTGTACTGTCAGAAGAAATTACTGTATTAAACTGTCCTTCATGCATATTCATACTTGTATATTAAAATGAAAACAGACAAAATGAGCCTGGTTTTAGCAAATTAACATACAATATAAAAAGACAGGATGATTTTGATATAATCATCTTAAGTATGACAATGCTAACTTAAGGAATTACTGGAGGATGGCTTATTTGAATAATGGCCTCAAACAAATGAATCATTTCGAATTATGTCAATCTGTTTGTTAAAACATTGTGAAAATCATGCGTCTTGCTAGACTTGTAATATTATATGTCATCGACATGACAGGAAGTGATGAGTCCAAGCTTTCGGTTTCTAACAAACTGTTCCATGTAGGCTCCATCCCCTCACTTTGTCTAAAGTTGCGGATGTTTGTATATTTACAGTTTATCCACTCTGAGGTTAGAAATGAGGATCTTTATTTAAACTTTATTCCACAATAATTTCTTAATAAAAAAGGAAAATGCAATATAAGGAGAAGAAATCAAGAGAGGATTTTCATTCTTAGGCTCACTAAGGGTTTATCCTTCCCAGATTCATTTGTTCAGCTCACTCTACATTTACAAAGTGCTGGAAGGTGCATTTAAAATGTGCTTTTCTTTTCTGAACATGAAGTCTTCGATGAGTCTAATTAGCATTTATAGATTCATTGAGGAACTTGATTACAGCATTTAAAGTCTGCAGCTGGTCATTATGCTAATCCGAGAGCCTTCACTATGTACTTATATAACCCTGCCACAAAATCAGTGGTGTTTCATGATGGAGGAAAAAAAACCAAGAGTGAACTAAGCGCTCTTTAACCTGAAAACTCCCATGATCCTTTGCTATGGGCTTCAAAACCGCAGGCAGACCGTGAAAGAGCCCAGACACGGTCAAGCCATGAGTCAGGAGTTAATCATTAACTGTAAATTCACTGAGGTGAAGGGGCAACTGATAACAGGAGTGGCTAAGCTCAGCTGACAACATATTAACCGATTAATACATTACCATGAGTGGAAATTATGATGTATGATATGCTATTCTAAAAAAACAAAAGATGCAAGCATTACAAAAAAAGTCTCTTAGAATATGTAAGGTCATAAATAGCTATTGTGTTTGACTGTTGTTTGTTTATTTCTGTTGCTCCCCATTACACCACTGTGTCCTCCAAACAATTCCTATCCTGTGGGGATAGTGCACATTCATTTTGTCTTTGGTCTGTTACAGCAAACTAATATACAGAGGCTCTATAGAGCCAGCCAGAGAACAAGGTCGAACACGCACCGTGGATATGTGCTCACCCGAGGCTAATTTCTTTAATTCTTAAACTAGATGTGCATGACAGAGAATTAATTTTCTGCGTAAACAAGTTACAATTTGTTTCCTGGGGTTGTTTGGCTGGCTTTCTGTCAGAAGCTGCACATGATTAATAATGCTGTCCTACACCTTCTGTTGAGGGAATTAACGCAAAATGGTGAAAATGAACATGGGTGAATGAGAGAGGGCTGGGTCATGTATGCCTTGTGTGAGTGTGTGTGTCTGTGCCACACATTTATTTCCCAGTGCAAACACATGTGCCTTTGCACTGTGTCCTCAATGTCACTGGTGTGTCACAGACCACACGTCCCTTCATGCTGCAGGTAATGAGCATATTAATATGTACATACCCAGTCAGGTTAATGCCTGCCTGGCTCTCCAATTTCACGGCCCCGTCTCAGGTTGAAACAGCTTCAGCAGCACCAATCGGCCACGTTTTCTCTGCAACAGATGAAGAAAGAGGATGTTATGAATTACTGAACAAATACATGACTGACAGGCTGGCTGATCAAACCGAAGGAAAGGAAACAGAAAAGGAAGAATGAGCCAAAACTGGTATAGTGAAGTTGATTGATACTAAAGATAATGTGAGGTGAGGAGTTGATACTAAAACATACTGACACAAAATATGGCTACAAGCATTGTGGGGAAAAAAAACACTCAAATTGCTCTTCGGTGTCTTATTCTTTTCTTTTTCAAAGCTCCAAAAGTTATTCCAGACAATCCATCAGAGATGAAGTCTTGCCTTCATAACTCTGACCCATTATATCTATTTAATGGTTGAGTTCATCACTTTTGTTTCTAGGAAGACAAACTGTGTCTTAAAGCAGATCGAGTCTAAAAGCTGGCTGTCTACTGAATACAGAATATTCCCCTCAATGGAAAAACATTGAGATGAACTCATTTTAATAAACTCTGCTGATATTTTTCAGCCATTAACCATCTAAAAGCTAAACGCCACTACAAATGTCAGACAGATAGATCAGCTTCTATCCAAGGTGTGACCAGGCTAAACGGTGGGATGACGCCTGAGAGTGTGTGTTGGTGTTATCCTGTCAGGCTCTGTTCTGACTTTACAGTACGTCTGTGTGAGATCCAGACATCCCTTATATCTTTTATGAGCAGTTTCAAAAAGATGTCAACACAGCAATTATCTTAACTATGTCATCAGTGAAAATGTATATATATTTTTTATCTCTGCATGCTGTGAGAGACAATATCCAGTACAGTGACAGCTTTAGTTACTCTGTGACAATTATCTTAACTATGTCATCAGTGAACATGTATATATTTTTTTATCTCTGCATGCTGTGAAAGACAATATACAGTACAGTGACAGCTTTATTTACTCTGTGGCGATTTCAACCCTTTCACCTGATTTAGTTTCCCATTAAACATCAATGTAAGATTTTCTTATAATAATTTGATATAAAATTGAATAACAGCTTCTCCATTGCATATTGATGCCGATATTTCTGATGCAGGTTTGCCCGACATGTTTTAGTGTTCAGGAGAACAAAGATTCTGATTTCTATGCATTGCTTTGTTGTCCTGACATAAAATAAACACCACAAGGCTACTGTGGAGAACCTTCTATGAATACAAACAAAAATATGTTTACAGAGATTTTTCACATTACTTTTCTCTTGCAAAGAAGCAGCACTCAGACAAAACAATGTTAGTAAACATCCTCAGAGTGTTAGATTAATACCAAACTGAAGCAAACAATTTGGAATTTAAATGGAATTTTGAAAAATAATAACAAATCATGCTCTTTAGAAAAGTGTTGCTGATGCGACTTTATTTCGGCATGATTGCAGAAATTCTTGGTCTAGGAAAAACATTTCAATGCCTCAAAATCAGATTATTAGATGGATTTTTTTTTTGTTGTTTAACCTTTTTTTTTTTTTTTTTAAAGATGAACAAATTAGACATGCACCGAATTTAGTAAAATCACCGAATCTTTTTTTGTTAACTTTATGTCAATATACAAGTTAATTCAACATAAATGATCTACTTTTCACTTTGCGACCACTTTGAAACCTACAAAAAAGTTCCACTGATTTGACCTGATGAGCTGAATGAACACATTTTTAGCACTTACTTACTTACTACTCAGTAAGTTCAGTAAACCTGAACTGAGCTGCTTTTGCAATTTCACAACTTATGACCTTGCTTTGAACAAACAGTTCAGCTTAACACACAATTTTAAGGCAGCAGGATGAGCTGTGTTTTTAAGTTGAACTAGCTTTCAATGATTTACAGTGTTGGGCACCGAATACGCAGTACGGGAAACCTTGACTACACCACAGGCAGATTCATTCAGAGGGAATTTCTAATAAATATTAATAGGCTGACTTATTTTTAAATGAATTTAAAGCCAGATTCAGCTATCAGGAAAAGTAACAAAGCTTACTTTAATTTGATTTCTTATTACAATTTGGGGATGTTACTCTTCACTTCTAAATCAATCTGTATTATGCATGTTTTATAGCAGAGCAACCAAATGAGCTAAGAGGGTGGAAAAAGATGAACAATTAACATCATGTCTGTATTAAACTCGAGATCCTTTTGCTTTGCACCCTCAAGAGTCTGAAATAAAGGAAATACAAAATCCATTTGGAGTCCAAACACTTCAAGTCTGTGAGTCAGAACCCCTGTTCTATTTCCTTTAATACAAGGCTCCAGCTGTACATCCTAATCGGGAAGCATAAAATAAAAACAAACATGGACTTGGCTGGATCATTGCTGGTGATGTCAACACTCTCCATAACTACACACACACACACACACACAAAAAGATTACAGCTGGTGGATAGTGGATAGTAAACAGGACATAGAATATCTGTGGCAAACACATTATGAAATGTGAATACTTGTCATATTTGCTGCAGCCGTGTCATCAGGTAGTAGCTCATGTACAAATGCAAGTAAACAAGTTTTGGAGCACATAAGTGTGATGAATCAGATAAATGCAGATCATACTGGTGAGGATATGTCTGTGACAAACAGCATTCAGCCCTCTTTTGTAACAGTACTGTAGATACACAACAACAGAACGCTTTGGGAATCTCTGAGGCGTTACAACCAGCATTTCAATTCCTTCTGAAGGACAATGCGGAGCTGGCTCTATGAAAGTACACATGGGGATTGGAACTGGTCTGCATCAGGTTATACTTAGTTCATTGGTATTTTGTGGTGCAGTTTCATACAGGCAAACTGAATATCCACATTTGTGCACGTGCTATGTTTCAGTGACAACCCACTGAATCTCATAGATTTTCTGGTCGAGCACACCTCAAGGACGCTGTTCCATCTTGTACGGATATTGTTATTCACAAGTGCAAGTTGCTTCAAATGTCCAGAACAGTGATAGTTCTGGACATGTGTTAATGCGAAACAATGCAATCATCAGTTTGCTCGGCCACTGCTGAAAAAGTATCTGGTGAAAATCTAAGAAGCTGGAACAACATTCCCAAGATGATAACGTGGGAACAAAGGAGAGTCAAAGCACTGTATGTACTGTATGTTCTCATCCATCACTGATACTGTACAGCAGTATTTATAGAGTGAAACCTTCGTTGCAACTTGTCTTCACATATTGCTATTCATTTATAGTCATTTTAGTAGTGAATAGCAGTCACATGAATAGTAGAAGTGCAGTACTGTATATCATATTGAGATTTGTGAGATTACTGTGAGATTACATGGCACCTTAAATCCAATCGACCACCGGGGCAAGGCTCCAATTTGCTTGGCCTCCTGAACGCTGCCCCTCGGTGCATGTTTTCCTGAGGTGATCCACCAAGTGGACTCTTGCCTCAGTACGGCAAAGATGAAATTGGACTGGTGCCTTGGGTATACATTTACATTTCTCAGAACACATTTGCACATCTGAGTGGGCATTTGCAAATCTTGTTTTGCATCCAGAAATCTCAGTTGATTATTATAAAGACAAGATAAGGTTCAGAATGTATCTCCATATTATGGTATAAATAAAATTTCATTTACACATCAATAAAAAAAAGTAACATTTAAAACAGTTCAACGTGAACAAAGTGAGTACAAATAGTTTTGTTTAAATATCAGTGCTCCAAACCCAGGACGTTGCCACAACCTGCATTGGCAGTAAAAAAAAAGAAATGCAAATAATGATATCATCTCTACATGAGATTGTACATCTCAAAGCAGCAACGAGGACCGCCTCTAGCTCTGACCTTTCGGGAACCTCATCTCTAGCACACGTATTTTCCACTTCAAAGTAAGCAGTTAAATTATTACAATTAGGCCTGCAGCGCTGCTCTGGCTGTACCAATCTGCTGATGAAAGAACGTACCAAGCCTATCATTCTGCCTCAAAAAACCATTGTAGTTGAGTATTATACATATTCAAAAGACTGTTTAAGGAGAAATCTGGTTGTCTTTGCAGAGCCATGCACACAATTTAGAAGATTATCCATTATTCTATCCACTAAAAAGAATGATTGTTAGAAGCTTTACCGGCAATTATCCACATGCATATGCAAAGATATTTTACTTGACTGCAGATTTTCATGATAGATTTAAGAGCTCAAAGCGGTTTGATGCAAACACGAAGTAAATATATGATGTGAAAAACACTCCGGTGACTGATGGTTTCAGATCACTGTAGGATTTATATTCTTTGGCACCAAACAGGCTGCTAAAGAACATGGCCAGATTGGAACTTTATGAAAGTGTTTTACCCCTCATGGATTTTATTACTCTATTGATTGTATGCATTGTGCCAGCGCTAGTTGAAAGAAACCATATGCTGTTCATGCTGGCAGAGTAGGTCTCTTCTCTACAGTACAGACTCTACCCTCATCCGGTGAGCGTTTCATCTGGCTTTAAAGGAGCAGAACCAAGGGAATTATACAGAGGAAAATTGTCAATAAAGGCTATTATGTCCGCTGTAATATCCATTTCCCAAACAATAATGTTGAGGAAGAAGCAGTAATGAGAGTACAGCAGTATTACCCCACCATCTGCTCTCTCCCACAGCTCGGTCTGCCTCCTCTCTCTGGGCTGCGTTCTATTTACTTGATCTGGCTCCTGTACTCTCTCACCCTCTTCCACACTTCCACATAGAGTTTTAGCTCCGTTAACCCTTTGATTCCCTCCATCTAGTCTGTGGCCTTCACTACATTATCCAGCCCTTATTCACCGCATCTGAGTATCTTTCACACTAACAGTATGTACACTAGTATATACATCGACAATCCGGCCTAAATCAATTTCACAGTCATTGTAAGAGTGGGAATAATGAAACATCTTTCTCACCTTCTCATACAGTGCACATAGACCTCATACAAGTTCACAGTATCAGCGGGAGTCATGGAAGATGAGAAATAATATATATACGAGTCTGTGGAAAAATGACTTATCTACTGATAATCTATGTTGTTGTAGCTACATATGCAG